GTACAGAACTTGGTGTAAAGAAGAGCCACACACCATTCTGACAAAGGCCAAAGGTCTCTGTATGTGTTTTTGATTACTTGTGGAAGATACATTTTCGCCTGATGAATTTTCATAGACTCGTGCCTGTGAACTAGGACTGCACACAGTACTGAAGTTTTCACGATTCTTTGTGACTTTGCCTGCTGGTTGCCCTCATCCGCACTGATGTCTTCTATCTCCTGGAAACTTTAGAATGGATCCAGGGTCCACAAATCGCCTTTAAGATTTTTTTTTAATGTTCTCTGGTTTGATTTCACTTCACCTCATTTCATTTTCTTCTCTTAACTCCAGTGTATTCTCTTAATTCCAGTATAATTCGATGCATTACTCCTTGCTCCTCAGGATCAGTGGACTCTTAATTGCCTTCACACACTTTGCCCAACCCTCCACCTAGCTCCCCTTGGGTAACCACCAGTTTGTTCTCTATGACAAACGGCCTTGTGAAACTCTGCCTTCTTTGGCCTTTTCACCACGTGTCATCTGTTCCCTTCTGGAATCCAGTCCCACCACAAGGAGGACTCAGTCCAATATTCATGCAATGGAATCTGAGTTTTGAGTTTTCTCTCTGGGATTCTGGAAGATTAAATTCTTCATGATGGCACAGGATCTACGTCTTAATGTTGTCCTTCTCACAAACTGATGCTTTCTTTTTTTTTTTTTTAAGATTTTATTTATTTATTTGAGAGAGAGAGAGAATGAGAGACAGAGAGCACGAGAGGGAAGGGGATCAGAGGGAGAAGCAGACCCCCTGCTGAGCGGGGAGCCCAACGTGGGACTCGATCCCGGGACTCCAGGATCATGACCTGAGCTGAAGGCAGTCGCTTAACCAACTGAGCCACCCAGGCGCCCACAAACTGATGCTTTCAAAAGACACACCGTTACCTGGGCTCTTTGTAAACATCTTTTCTTGCTCTGCTCTCTAAAAAGTATCTTTCCCTGCACTTTCCTCCCTTTGCCACTATCAGATGTCAAATCTTGGTTTTGTTGGTTAACAACACTTGGGAATTGTGCATGAAGGATTGAGTGTGTTCTTGTTATGGACCTGTGGTGGATGAATTCTGCGGGGACACAAGAACTCTCTCACAGACACTTGTACATGGAGACTAATTTGTTCTAGTGTGGGTCAAGTGGTGGGTGAGAAGTCAATTCTCTCCCTCTTAACTGACAGGACTTGTCACATCACCTTCCTGTTTCTGTCCTTCTTTTTCTCTTCCTTAATGACCACTCCCAGAGCTGGATAAGTGAAGGAATATTTCCTCTGGGATTTAGAAATCCACGCCATCACTGGGTTCGTTCCTGGAGGGCTTGGTGGTGCTCCTGTGGGGACAGAGGCTGGAGGCCTGGGAGTAGTCAGTGTGGTCTGAGGATCCCTTGGGTCACATGATGAGAAACAGTTCCCCTTCTTGGAGTGCATTTGGGAGAGGTGGCAGGGACTCTCTGGGCACTAAGACCAGGCAGGTACCAACCTGTTTCCCTGTTCATTAGAATAGGATGAAAGACACCAGCTGAGGGCAGCAAACCTGGGGGCTGGCTTTTTGCTGCACATTACCATAAGCTATCAACCATTGCGTGGTCGCGTGACCTTTTTCTGGGACAAAGCAGCACCTGGCCACAGTGTGGCTAAACCCTCCCCAGAGATTCAGTGCGGGTCTATGCCACACCAGTCCCTCAAACCTGGGAGTTTTGAAACCCAGCTGCACCTGACATAAAACACAGCAGTACTGTGCTGCTGGCAGGCCGACAGCTTGGATACAGACAGCATGAAGGCAGGGATGGGATGGAAGGTGAGGACACAAGAGGGGCAAGTGTTTGCTCTTCTCTGAGGGCTTTCTAAAGAGTGGTGGCTGTGAACGCCCCTCTCTGGGGACAAGAGAGTGGGGTGATGCCATTATCTCCCCCACCCATCAGCACTGACCTACTACACTGAGCAACACAGTGCCACCAAGTGGAGGCCAGAACCCCTTACACCAAGCCCTGCCCCCTGTGCCCTGCAGGTGCATCTCCACTAGGGCAAGTTCACCTGAGAGTCTGTGAGGCTGACCCCTCTCACAGAAGACCAGCACAAACCCCTGGCATGCCGCAAGTCTACTGATCATAGAGTGCTGCAAAGCTTTACGTCTAGGCAAAATAATATCTAGCTTCCTTTTCCTTAACTCTAGCTTCATTTAACAAGTAGACCAGTGGTACCTGAGGGCTCAGTCTTTAAGTGTCTGCCTTCGGCTCAGGTCATGATCCCAGGGTCCAGGGATCGAGCCCTGCATTGGGCTCCCTGATCCGCAGGAAGCCAGCTTCTCCCTCTCCCACTCCCCCTGCTTGTGTTCTCTCTCTTGCTGTGTCTCTCTGTCAAATAAATAAATAAAATCATTAAAAAGAAACAAGTAGACCAAAACACACTTAATTAGATCATGCCACACAGTGGACAAGGCCCGGATACTCCCCATTGCAGGCAAGGAGAATCTCTGCAGAGGACTGACCTGAGGGAAGGAGCAGCAAAACACAATAGCAGAGTGCAGACTCTGAAACACCTCCTGAAGCTTCAGGCCCAAGACAGTATAGGATAGGACCTCTTTTTGTTGTTGTTGTTGTTTTTTGGACCTTTTTAAATATAGCCATTACTCAGGAAATAGAAGGAGAGAGAAAGTGTTTCCCAGGCAAACAAAAACTAAAAGAGTTTGTGAGCACTAAACCATCCCAGCAAGAACTATTAAAGGGGGCTCTTTGAGTGTGGAAAAAACACCAAAAGCAAGAGAGGACCAAGGAACATCACCAGAAACACCAACTTTACAGGGAACACAATGGCACTAAATTCAAACCTTTCAATAATCAGTCTGAAAGTAAATGCCCTAAATGCTCCAATCAAAAATCATAGTGCATCAGAATGGATAAAACAAACAATCAAACAAAAACAACTGTAGGCTGCCTACAAGAGACTCATTTTAGACCTACAGACATCAGCAGATTGAAAGTGAGGGACAGAGAAACCTTTGTTATGCAATGGACGTCAAAAGAAAGCCAGAGTAGGTATACACCAGGGGTAGCCATCCTTATATCCGACAAAGTAGATATTAAAACCAAGTCTGTAACAAGAGATGAAGAAGGGCATTAAATCATAATTAAGGGGTCTATCCATCAAGAAGATCTAACAATTCTAAATATTTATGCCCCATTTTTTAAAAATATTTTATTTATTTATTTGAGACAGAGAGAATGAGAGACAGAGAGCATGAGAGGGAGGAGGGTCAGAGGGAGAAGCAGACTCCCTGCCGAGCAGAGAGCCCGATGCGGGACTCGATCCCGGGACTCCGGGATCATGACCTGAGCCGAAGGCAGTCGCTTAACCAACTGAGCCACCCAGGCGCCCTGTGCCCCATTTTTTTTTATCCAAGAACTAGTTTCAGGTTTATTTTCTTTATTGAGTTCCGATTTTTTAAAATTTAATTTAATTTTATTATGTTATGTTAGTCACCATACAATACATCATCAGTTTTTTGATGTAGTGATCCACAATTCATTGTTTTTATATAACACCCAGTGCTCCATGCAGTACGTGCCCTCCTTAATACCCATCACCGGGCTAACCCATCACCCAACCCCCTCCCCTCTAGAACCCTCAGTTTGTTGCTCGGAGTCCATAGTCTCTCATGGTTCATCTCCCCCTGTGATTTCCCCCTTCCTTTCTCCCTTCCTTCTCCTAATGTCCTCCATGCTATTCCTTTTATCAATTTCTGCAGAAATTATTCCTTTTTTTTTTTTTTTTGGTTTGGTCAGCTTGAGGCTTATGTTGTTCCTTGGTCTAGCTAGAATGGACCCCCTCCTCTTCAGGTAATGCCTCTCTTCATCCCTGATCATTTTCCTGGTTCCAAAGTGTGCTTTGTCTGAAATGAATGTAGCTACTCTGGCTTACGTTTCATTTGTGTTAGCATGGCGGCTTAACCTTTTCTGCTTCTTTACTTTTAACTTATCTATAGTCTGATCATTAAAGAGAGTTTCTTCTAATGAGTTTCTTGTAAGTGCTTCCTATGTTTTTAAAGTCCAGTCTGATACTCTGTCTTTTAATTACTGTATTGAGACAGCTCGTATTTATTTTTATTTCTATTTCTTCTCATTTTTTCTTATTTCTATTTTTTTTCTTTTCAATTTTTTCTTTAAATTTTAGCTAGGTAGCATACAGTGCAATGTTGGTTTCAGGAGTAGAATTCAGTGATTCATCACTTGCGTACAACACCCTGAGCTCATCATATCAAGTGCTCTCCTTAACACCCATCACCCAGGAAGCCCAGCCCCACCAACCTCCCTCCATCAACCCTTAGTTTGACCTCCATTTTTTTAAAATTTTTGAAATTTTATTATGTTATGTTAGTCACCATACAATACATCATTAGTTTTTGATGTGGTGATCCACGATCCACTGTTTTCATATAATACCCAGTGCTCCATGCAGTACGTGCCCTCCTTAATACCCATC